GTCAAAAATAGGATAATTATTGAATGAATTACCATGCAATAATTGTGTGATTTATTGCAATTTTTAGCACAATTATTGTATGGTCAAATATACAGAAATCGTAGTGAATTTAATTGAATGATTTTTCAACAAAAATCACACAGACTTTTTTCATAGGGATAATTATCTGCTTAGTAATATCTGAATCCTTCAAATCAATACTTCCGGTCATTATAATCCTAAGATTGTTTTGCTTATTTAAAATTATGTCTATTCTCTTCTTTTGTTCAACTTCAAGAATATCATATAAAGGAATTATATTATCAAATTCAATAATTTCTAAGTCATTCTTTGTATTTTGAATCCATTTAGATAAATCATTTTCTTCAATAATATCTCCTTCTTACGTTAAAAGACACGGAATACTGAAATCTGCTAAATGTGATTTTAAAGATTCGAATACTGGTGATGCTAAATCAATCCTTTTTGAAATATAAGATGAATTTTCTATTGTATTTTTAAGAGATTTTCCTAATACGATATTTAATGGAATAAGGTGTCCATATTCGTCAAAAACTGCTTGTAAATGTATAAGTGGTTCCATACTTTCAAGTGCTTTTCTATAGCCTGTTGAAATTTTTCTGAAGGTTTAATATTATTTCTATTTAATAAAATGTTGTGTCGTTCACCTTTTACCAGAAAATGTACGCGGTCTTCGTAACTTAGATCATCTGATACTTTAATAAACGGAAAAGAGCTTATATCTTCATCGCTATTAGTTGAAATGATGTTATCATTTATTAAAATTTCATCTAAGATAGTCGTCGGTTTCACAATTTTTAAATAAAACTTATCATTTGAATTTACATCAGGGATATTAATTAAATCGATAGTATTTTCGTTACTAATTCTTGATTCAGAACTTTGATCAATTATTAAACCTCGAAGAAGCTGAAATTCTTCAACCCATTTTGCATATTTTGAATTTTTAACCCAATTTTCTAAAGTCAATTTCTCTTTAAAATTAGCAACTCCAAGTTGTATTTCATCTTCTAATAACGTTGTTTCGGATTTTAATTGAGAAATTGGAACGAGATTATTATAAGAAATTATTTCAACCCTATCATCGTGAAATAAATTATTCATCCAATCGGTTAATTGTTCACGAGTATCTAAATTTATTCCGTCTGTTGTTATTATTTTTGGAAAGAAATCCAAAGCGAATAAATTATCAAATGAGATTTCTTTTTTATATCTTGTTGAATCATGTACCCAATTTAAGTAAGAACTAAAAGTATGTGTTGAAGTAACCGATTTAAGGTCATCGATAAACAATTTGCCGCCAATTAAATCTTTCTTGGAAAAAGATGACCGTATATTTCACATAACTTTCCCTTGTCATCATCCATAAAATTTGAGAAAGATTCAGATAAATCGAAAATATAAGTAATTTCGGCAACAGGAAAATTAATAAATATGTCTGATGGTTGTAGAGAATCATCAAGTTCAACGTCACTATCATCGGCAGAATTAAAACTTAATAAATTTTTACGTGAGTTACGATCGTTTATAGAAGTATACAATAAAGGTTGATCCTCACATAAACTAATGTTCAATTCTCCATCTTCAGTAAATACAGCTTGTTTACTCGGTTCTATGCTATACCCATTCAAGAATAGTCCATGATTCAAATTAAAATTGTTGAATCATTAGTTGTTGTTTGATTATTGATTTTAAAGTTGTAATAACTTTCTGAATTGTCGGTCTGTTCTCTGGATCACCATTCCAACACTCTACAAAAAATATACATATACAAAAATTAACAAATAACAATCTTTTAAAGGGTACATACGAAAAAATACTTACTCTTATAAAGATTATAATAACCTTTAGGCGTACCATCTACTATGACTTCTCTTAATCCTTGCGTAATTTCCTTAGCCAAAAATGAATTGTATACTTTATCAGAAAAAGGTTTTTTCCCACTAGATAATTCCCATAACAATACTCCGACGCTGTAAACGTCGCTTTTCTCGTTTAACTCAAATGCACCCGAAGACATTTCTTCAATATCAAATCCTCGTGGATCAGAATAAGGAATTGTATCTAACCAAGTTTGACTAGAATTATTAATACGTTTACTTAATCCAGAATCTGCCAACCTAATGGAATTTTGATGTACAAGTATACTTCTTGAATGTAAATCTTTATGTACGATTCCCCTCTCATGCAAAAATTCTACCGCTACTGATAATTGAATAGCTAATTCATATTTGTTTATCCAATTTAACGAAAGGAAATTCTTTTCCAAATAATTACGAAGTGTGCCTCCTTCTGCATATTCTACTACCAATAAATATTTATCTAAAATATAATGTTGTCACGTTATATTCAGAATATGTGTATTTATAATACATTTGGATATAATTAGACAGTTTGAGTTATGGCGTCCCGTGAAAAAATTATTTACCTGTATCAATCTTGGTTATTCCATATAATCCCATCATCACGTTATTAGAATCATTATTATGACGAAGTTTTATCTGTAAAAATCAAAAATTTTAGTGATCACATGAAAATCGTAAGTCTTAAACGTGTTAGACTTTCATACTAAATAGTGCATAATGCCTTTTTTTTAGAATAACACAATTTTTTAGAAAAAAAACTTTACATACCTCGTGGGCAACTTCTTTAATATTATCGTCATCCAATTTAAATGACTTTAATGTTATAAGTTTTCCACCCCGTTTCCAATTTGCTTTGTATATAATAATCTATATTCGCTTCTTTTATACGTTGCTCCATCGAGAGTATATTAGTAAAAATGAAAAAAACAGTGATTTAGCGTGAAGACGTACAAATTATTGTTATATAAACGAAGTTGTTATTTATAATACAGTAATTAAGATGAAAGAGATACACAATTGCCCTTGTGTTACTTGGCGTTATTATTGTGCGAATAAATTGAAAGTTTTTGCAACATTTTTTTGGATATTATCAGAATGGATTACGACTTGAATTTGATAAACGAATAGACATGAATGATTATGATCGCTGTTAATCAGTTTCAATTTTGCGTAGTCTTCGTTGTACTAAATTTGAATAAATCATAAAAAAAGACTTTTAAAAAGAATATTTATTATCGGATTAGTCAATTTTTGAGAAATTATTCTGGTTTTGTATCATCACAACAACAATATTGTCATAACAATATAAAGTTTAAATCCTAATTAGGAATTGCTTGAATGAATTCTATTATATCACCAATTGACAAAAATGTAGAATATAATGATGTATGATGATGATAATCTCGTCGTACTATTGTTCTTAAATATATTATCATGTGTTATTAATAAGTTAAAGCTGTTTTTATTATATTTATGTTACAATTTGAATAATAATGAATATGAAAATAGAATATTAATTAATACTCACGTAAATTTAGTGAATTGAATTGTAAATAAACTAGGCGTAACGCCGGGATGATACCTGCCAATCAAATAAGAGAGTAATAATAACATTTATATTTTATTTCCATGCAGTGTGAGTCAGATGAGATTAATAGGAAATAAATATAATAAATTACACAATTTATATGATTATACAAATAACAATGAATTGTGTGCAAGTGTTATACAGTATATGAAATATTATTATTAAATGCAAATTTTATTTATCACACGAAACAAATGTTGCAGTACTGTGAAATTTACAAAATTTATTACAAAAAAAGTAGCTTATTGTTACATTGTTATAAAAAACAAAAAAATTTTTTTTTATCTTAAAAAATTCCATTGTAGCATTAAAAAAAATTACATCCTCTAGAAAAAAAATATTTCACTAATAAATATGAAAAAAAAAATTCTCAGAAAATTTAATTATAACGATCTATTACAAAAAATAAATAAATGTAATTATGTTAGTCTATTATTGAGCTTGATACAATTATTATTAATAATAAGAATCGGGAAAAAAGGCAATTGCCGTGGCGCCGCAACATTGATCTGATCACCGATCCAAACCTAAGAATAAGTTCTGAAAAAAAGGATAATAATTTGATTCAAATTGGAAAAAAAACAAAATCTAAACGGTGAAAGAATGAAAAAAAACGAAAAATTTTTAATAAATGAAAAAATCGATTAACCGGAATTGGATTAGATATACAACATGACTTGGGTCTTAACTATAAAGAATACGGATCAGCAATTCAAAATTAATTTATACTGGCTAATCTAAACATTAGCTGCACCACCGTTTCCGAATTTATCCTTTTCGTCTTGTCTTCTTTCGCAAGTCGATCTGCCATCTTTTTATTGTTGTTATCGAATTCTTCCACAGCTTCTTTCGTTGGGATCATGTTGGAATTATAGGGAGTAAAACTTGGAACGTACTTTCTATCTATCTTCGCTCTACTCACCATTTGATCAGACAATATGCCCCAACATTTTCGATCGAATTCTTCTGTACAGTATATTCCCCTTTTGCAAAAACCGAATGTCTACATAAATTAATATAGTCAACCTTTCGCTCCAGACAGACTTAATCTGTTAAAGCTTAAGAATCCTGTTGATGACAGGCATATTTCTGATATACAAAATTTTACACTTCAAGTTGATGAGGAAGAGGATGACAATGTAATTTTAATGAAGGATATGCGAAAAATTGCTACTATGCCTTCCTCTGTTAACGGTTTCTCGTCTCTTTTATCGAGGATTCTTGAAAAAGCTTTCGATATTTTGCCCTCCTCGAGGTCACGTGATTGCGTTTTATTCTTGTTCTTCTATCACAGTATCACTTCCACCACTTCCTCTGGCTCAACATCGACCGCAGGATGTAATACTTCTTTTATGTAGATTTTTTCCTTTTCTTCTAGTCTGTCGAGATCCCATCCGAATTCCGAAACGATCTTGAAAATCACCCTGTTCCAAATGATAATTTTCGTTCTTGATTTTGACGTTCGAATAGGCCTTCTTTCCGTTTTCTTGACGAACTTTTCTCTTCCGACATCTTCTTTGTTTGTTCCTTGACTTCTTGACCTCCTTGAACGTTCGAAATGGCCATTTTGTAGGATCACCCTTTTCTGTTGCCGTTACAAGTGTATCTTCCAAATCCTTTTGTGACTTGAAGTAATTATTTAGTATTAACGCAAAATATGATTTGAGAGATCCCACTGTGTATATTGTATAACCGTAGGTCAAATGTGATAATTTGTTGTTCGATTTGAAGCATAACATTCTCTTTTTCGTAAATCGCAAGCTGTAGTATCTACAAATAAAAAGTTATTTCAGAATTATATTTCAAAAAAAAAATTGTTCTTTTCGTGATTTAATGGATAAAATTATTATTCATAACAAATTAACGTCATAGATTATGTTTTACCTAGTCAGAATAAAATTTTCTTTTGAAAATTCCTTGTTTTTAATCAACAGTTTAATTATTCATGATTGCATAACTATTAATAAAACAAAGAGATCATGAAACAATATTTTCAATAATTATTTTGAAAATTTTTGTATAATCATAGTGTAATGGCAATCGAATTATCAGCTCAATCTAATAATGCCTTAAGACTGTACCAACGATGATCTCCTAATTTAGGCCGATGATGAGGATTAGGACATGGTTTGATTTGGACTACAACATAGTCTCCGCTTCGCTCCGGACTAATAATGAATAAACCAGGATTTGTCATTAATTTTTCATTTAATCGGCTAGAGAAGTGAAAAATAGTTTTTTTTCCGTAAAAGAAACCCGAAAATAAATAATGCATTATTTGGTCAGTAAATTTTTTTTTTTTTTGTATTGTGGAATGTGTGAATGTTAATGATCTGGTAGTTCTAGTCGATGTCATCCCAGTATAGCTTCATTACTGTATTATTCATTCAATGATTGATTCATTGTCACATTTCACTGCTTGATTGGGTAGTACTACTATAGGTTTAGCGTTTTCCTTAATTGGTAATAAAAGATGTTTGTATTTGACAAAAAATTAAATACTTTATTAACGACTGTCGCGTTTAAGTGTTTAAGCAATAATTTTACAAACTTTTAATTATGCTATGTAGTAAATGTCGAAAAAAAATTCTATCTGGCAAAGTCCAACGGGATGGGAAAGCTAAATTATTTGTAAAGAATGTATGATTATACATAACATGTTGAAAATTTAAAACAGTTTATTTTTATACATGTAATAAAAAAATAAATTTTACGGGAACTTCACGGATAACTTTATTTTGAAAGGTAAAAAATTTTGTAATACCAAATTAAAGTCCGATATTTACGAATTAATCTTGAAGGGATTTAAGCTTCAATTTCAACCAAGTTACTTCTGTTTGTTTATTTAGAATATTTTGAATTTCTTCATTAGTTAATTCTTCTTCTTCGCTTAATTTCAGTTTAACTTTTTCCAGTTTTTCTGAAGAAAAATTATCATTAGTTAGAACAATCTTTATTTGTTCCTCCAGAAGATTATCCAGTAAACGTTTCCCTTTTTTACCAAGTTCGCTCTTGATAGAAATGGTATTAATTGTATTTCTTAATTCAATTTCTTTAGTCTCTATTTGAGGGTACAAGGCATTTATCTCTTTTAATTGTCTTTTTAATTCATCAATGTGTTGCTCGCTTTGTTGAATAAGATCATCTTTAACCTTTGATTGATTATCGAGAATGGCAAGTTTCTCTTGAGAATTTTCATATTTCCTGGTTTCTTCATCTAATTGCTTTTTTAATTCCTCAATATTTTTCCGAGTTTGTTGTTGGAGTTTATTAATAAAATCTTCTTTATCCGTTAGTTGGTTATTATAAATTTCAAGTTTATTGCATAAATTTTCCTTGTCTTCACGAAGTTTTTCTAAACAGTCTTGTAAATGACTCCGTTCTTTTTGTTGATCTTCCTCATTTACTTTAACCTCTTCAAATTTATTATCTATTTTCATAGTTTTTATCAATTTCTTCCATGACGAATTTATATCCTTTTTCAAGTCATTCATTTGCCTTCTCAAGCTGGCTGTACTAGATCTAGTTTCATATTTCTGTTCGTCCAATTTTTTTTTGAGATATTTTAATTCCGTTTTTCTACTTTCGATACTAGATATCAATGACTTAGATTTAATCAATTGATCTTCTAAATTTGCATATTCATCTTCCTTGGTTCTTAATTCGTCGGGGTTTCCCAGTTCTTTTCCTAATTGTTTTTTATATATCTCCTTACCTTTCAAGGAATTTGCTTCTTCGTGCGATACTCCAATTTCTATTAATTGCTCAGCAGTAAAGAATGCTGATTTAACTCTTTTTTCTTCATACCCTTTTCCATTTAATGCTGATTTTTGATATTCTTTAGATAATTTCCAATTTTCTTTCCATGCTCTCAAATTATATCTACCTTTTAAAGCATCTATAACGTCGATAGCAAAAATCTCAAGCTGCTTATATATAATTTTTACTTTAGCTTCCGGTCTTTTATCAATGGAACATCTAAAATTTTTAACACTGTCAGGTAAATACTCTATACCAGAATCTATATCAGTATTATTAATATTTAAACTTTCTAGTTTGTTTAAGCTTTTTAAAGGTTTCAAATTACCATGAAACCGATTAAATATGTCTTGCTGAATTCTATACTCATCAGTATTTCCTATGAATAATTGTTTTAAATTAACGAAACAACCAAAACAATTTAAGTTTTGAGAAAGTGAATTATCAAGTAAATTTATATATTCTAATTTTTCTTTATTTACAATAGGTAGTCTTATATCAATAAGTTGATTATAATTAGCTCTTATATAAGTAATATTTGAACTATTTGTTAAATCTAAATTAGTTAATTTGTTCTGAGAACAATCAAGATCAGTTAATCTCATATTTTTTCTTATATCTAAACTAATTAATTGATTATTAGAACAATTTAATTTTTCTAAATTAACAAATTCTGATAAATCTAAATGGCCTTCTAAATTTTTATTATTTATTATTAATCTGTTCTCTTTTTCTTTTTCTTCTTCTGTTGGATATTTTTGATTTATATACTTTTGTGCATTTATTTTATTATTCTCTTTTACACATACTTTAAATGTTTTTTTACTATTACTTTTTTCACTTATTTCAGATTTAATAAAAGTTTTTCTAGTCATTTCTTCATATAACTCAAATGCTTTCATTTCATTTTTTTCAATTCCAATTCCATATCGATAAAAAATTGCTAATAGAATAATATTTTGTTTATTCTTATTATTATTATTTAATAAATAATTAAATATTTCATTTATGTTTTTGTTATTAAATATTATATGTTTCTTAATTATCAATTGAATATAATCATCTTCATAATAAATGAATAAAATCTTCGTATAATAATATCAATTCATTAATAATTATTTCATTATTTTCATCTATATCAATAATGGTGTCGTTGTGTATATTCTCATTAATTTTATTTACATATGATAAATCATTCTTCATATTTAAATTAATCGATTTTAATTCAGAAAGTACTTGTTGCATATCTGGCCTGTCATTTGGGTTATCTTGCCAACATCCTAAAAAAAAAGAAAAAAATTTGATATTAAGATATAATAAATAATTAAGAAAGTACAGTCGACCCTATATAGTTGGATCAAAAAAAAAATGGTGTGATTATGAAAATACTATATGGTGTGACTAAAGGGTGACTATAGAGAGTTTAACTGTAAATAAAATAATAATGAATGCATACTTTTATAGGTATTCACATAATCAATTTGTGTATCAGAAGTTGGAATTTCTCTTCTTCCATTTAAAATTTCCAACATTAATGTCGATTTTTGATGAGGTTTATTGTAAGATTCAAATGGTCTTTTGCCGGATGAAATTTCCCACAAGAGTACGCCAACGCTATACACGTCCGATTTCTTATTCGCTTTATAATTATCATTTAGTTTCTCCTTAAAATGTTGTGGATCGATAAAAGGTAATATTCCAATAATATCCGCAGAAGTATTTGATACTTCAGCCAACTTATTATGTGAAAGACCAAAATCATCTAATTTAATCATATTCTTATGAACTAATATGCTATTAGAATGCTAATTTATAAATTAATATTAATGTACTTGGCAAATATTTTGTTAATCAAATTGTTTGATGATGATGATCATAATAAAATACTTACTAGGTTACGATGTATAATATTTTTTCGATGTATAAATGAGACTGCATCAACAATTTGAATCGCAAAACGTAATTTAATATTCCAATCTAAGTTATTAAAATTATTTTCTAAATAATCTCTCAATGTGCCATTATCAGCATATTCGAAAATAAACAAATAATTCGGATCAACGTTATCTTTATTATTATCTTACCATATAAAAGTAAAAAAAAATAAATTATTAATATATCTTTTAATATTTACCTAATGCACTAGCAATGCACTTTTATATTATTTAATATACCTATCATTTTAGTAATACCAAAAAATTGAATAATATTTTTATGAAGATTAATTTTATTCAATAACGTTATCTAAATAATAAAAAAAACTAATAAATTTTTATTTAAAGAAACATTAAAATAATATATAATTAAATTTTATTCATTTACCTCATTAACAATTTCTTTCATAAAATTGCTACCATTTTTAAGAGATTTTAATGTGACGATATTATTCAAACTTTTCCAATTTGCTCGATGAACTTTACTAAATCTTCTATCGCATATATATTCTAGATTTTGGAATTCGTCGTAATCGTGATAATTTATATATTTATTAGCAATACTGTCTTTGATCCATCGAATCCATTTATTATCCTTATTAATTTTATTCATTTTTATTTTATTTTATTTTATTTTATTTTATTTTTAAAAAAAAAAGAAGGATCGGATCTCGATATTTAAGTAACGATGGAATAATAACAATAAATCCTGATAACGCTAAACGATCTACAGGGCCATTTGAAAGTTGCATAATAACACATGTTGCATCATTGTTGTTTGCATTAAGCCGACAAAACAAACAAAAAACTATTATTTCAAAGGTATTGACTATCCTATTGAGGAAATATTTCAAAAATTTCAAAATTCGTGGGAGTCTGGCGCGAGCGAAAATAATCTAATCCATTAATAGAAGGAATTTTTCATTTTTTAATTTAGACCACAAGATATTAATTCACTATATTTGGAAGGTTTGAAAAAAATTGCTTAAATTAAGTACTATTTATTTTCTTTATTGATATTTATTGACAACAATTAACTGTAATTT